ACTACCGCGCTTAACTTCGATAACAACGAATGAATGACATTTCCATCCCGACCGAAACTCGTCGCCCAGAAAGTATGTTGCCGGGGCGATTTTCAAACATTTTCTCTAGTTTTCATTCAGATCTGCAATGCTTCAAACATTTGCCGTTATTTTATGGCTCGTGATAATCATGATAAATTGTTTGAGTAAGAAAATTATTCTGAAGGTTTAATTATTCAAATATGCATAACCATAACATTAAACAATTTAAAATGAAGTGTCGAAATGCACCGTGGGAATTATGCGCCACAAAACAACAGAGTACTGTATCATTTTAATATATTACTATACATACTGTAATATGAGGTTATTACGAGCGAGGATACCTCAAAGTATGCACGAAGATAGTATCGACCGACGCGCATCTTTTTATACATCTTTTCCTTCCAAGGATACATTAACGGGAATGCCGAAATCCAAAAGTTTAGAACAGAATCAGCGGAGTCCGGATAAAACCTTGGTGGCAGCCATGTTTATTTTTGTTATTAGAGGACGCTAACGCGCGTAATGATTCCACATTTGGAATTCGCATTCCCTAATATGGTAGGATGAAAATATCCCGTAAAATACCGCAAAATTACGGCACGCTGTAACTTATGGCGTTACGTTGACGGATGTATAATAATATACTATTAGATTACTGTAATGTACTCGCACATGTTTAAATTTCTACATGGGTACAAAAAAACGACTATAAAAGAATGTGTGTCATTTATACATTAAGATTTCTTGTATGTACTAGCTGATGTATAAAAGTTGTTTTCGTGTTATTATTTCATCAGATACCGTCCCTCTATCTCCATGATAGCGTCATTGTTGCTGCCATGGCACTAGATGCAGTTATCAAGAAACACAGGCATTTTATTTGGCCCGCAGTAGACCCGTCGTTGTGTAGACCATTACAGTCTGATACTACTGTACATCATATCGGCAGGTCTGATACTATAGGGTCTCAGGAGGTAACGGATAGATATGCGCTAATGGATGCTGTGCGAAAGGTAAATATTATGGGATGGCTCGGGTGAATTTCTGACGAAGTATATTTATGTCTTCGGAAAATGGCCTTATTATGTAACTTTGCTTTTTCTTGTGATATTATTAATCCAATTCAATTGAAATTTAAGTTAAATAAGTCTTTCAGCTTCACTTCTATTTCGGAAATCTAATGAGACGTAATTATTGCATCACTTACACACACGTATACTAATAACCAATAGGGAATTTTAATTACTGGATAAATACGGAAGTGTCCAAGATGTTTACACGTGGAGACAATTCATAGCGACATATTAACCCAAATATGTCCGAGCATAATGTAGTAATCAATTACGTTCAGGCATCCTAATGCACAGTTCATTTATATCGTCCAGGTTCGATTTGAAAACGGGCTTTCTGGCACGGTAGACTTCGATACCGGGGGTATAACGAAAGAGGTCAAATGGAGGTCATTAGCGTATCCAGTACACAACACAACGTTACAGACATCGCAAGGGTAATTATGGAAATCCTCTTGAATTACAATACATTTTTTTTTCAATTAAATTGTTCATCTTAACATGAGAACTCCGGATTGTCCGTGTTGTGTCTTTGCGTATTTAGTGTCTTGATAATTCCCTCCGTTAGTCCGTGTATCAATTTACTTAAAGCGGGGGAGTCGTCACCTGCGCATGCGTCAGATGGCCACAGCGTGTCATTGTTTACAAACAAGCGTCTACCCATGAGCCTTTGCGTTTTTAGCGTGTGTTGTTATCGTCGCTTGGGACTCAATTCGCGCGCGTGCGCAGGTGACGATCCTCCCGCTTTAACGTACAGCTATTTGTTATCAAACCAACAACGATTGATCGCGTTCAAAAAAGTGTTCGCCAAAAGTGGTGCATAAAAAGTAACGGTCCTTCAAATTGTCTTCACTGCACTGCACTTCAAGCTGCGATTAATTACAATATGTTAAAGATTGTAACTGTATCTATCTAGCTGGGACTTCTATTCTAGCTACTTGTATTAAAGCTTCATACGTGGGTTGATATTAATCTCTCGCTGGAGACATCACACACCCCATTTCATGGTTTACTCAAACATGTTGTTGTGATATATTGCACGACCTA